CCTCCCCTTCCTTCCCCTTCCCTTCAATAAGTATAAGTTTCGAAAGTACAACTTTTGGATTATAGCAGTTTTTCCCCCCATAACCACCCTCCCACCTTAACAATTGACACTCTTATTTATGAAGTCAGTAATCACCCACGGCTTTTGTCATGAGCTGCCAAGGCTTTGGAAGCCTCTTGAGTTCACAAACTCCGACTTTATATAGACAAGACCATAATCAAAGTGGAAATTCTCTCCTCCCTTCAGAGAAAGCTACCTCAAGGAGCTTCTTTCAAATCTCCCATGTGGGTGTAGGGGCCCAAGGAGTTGGGACATCCTCCACTGTTTTCCAAGGTGCATTAGCAGGGAGCTGGATTGGAAGTGGAGCAGTTGACCCATAAGGGATGCCAGCGCTGCAGGCTGTGGCTTAATCCACTGTGCCACAGCACTGGACCCACTGGCGATATTTTATTTCTAGACTGTACTATTGATTTCACTGATGTCTGTCTTATTTTTCTTGAAATGAGACACAGGCACATTTGTATGTATGTGTGTGTCCATGTGTTTGTACACACATTTTGCAACAACAAGAAAGGAAGATCTCAAGAAGAAAAAAACTTTATAAAGTAGACCCTAGTAATCACACTAACCAAAATGTATAGTTGGTTTAATAGGCTGTTGACATTCTTCCATTAAATATTATAATTTAATAATGTAGAAAGAACTAGTTACAGAAGATATGTCCATGCATAGAAAAGGAAAGGATTATTCAAGAACTTTCTTCAGTCTGCTAGAGTGACCGTCCCTTAAAAATACAAGATTTTTAGAGGCAAGCTTTTGGCATAGTGGTTAAGACTCTGCTTGGGATACCTTCATCCCACGTCATAGTGCCTGGGTTCAAGTCCTTGCTCTGCTCCTGATTCTAACTTCCTGCTCATGCACACCTTGAGAGGTAGCAGGTGATGGCTCAAGTAGTTAGGTCCTTGCTACTTACTTGAGAGACCTGGATTGAGTTCCTGGCTCTTGGCTTTGGCCTGGTGCATCCCTGACTGCTGCAGGCATTTGGGGAGTAAACCAGCAGATGAGAGATCACTAATACTTTCTGTCTCTTTCTCTCTCTATCGGTCTGCCTTTCAAATAAATAAAATAAATTTAACATTTTTTAAAATATAAGACTTTTAGTGGTAATAAGATAATCATTAAATAATACTCATTAACTGGTAGGTACTTTATACTTTTATGATTTATTTGGAGCACATGCTTATCTTTGTATTATAGCTCACTTGTTGGGTGACTTCAAGCAGATTGGTAACCTTTTTATGCCTTGGGTTCTTTTATTCCCCATTTATTTATTGATTTGAGAGGCAGAAACAAACAGATTGACAGCGTCCCATCCGGTGGTTTACTCCCCAAATGCCTGTAATAGCAATGGCTGGGCCAGGCCAGGATGAAACTGGGAGCCAGGAACTCCATCCTGGTCTCCCATGTAGAAAGCAGGAACCCAATTACTTGATCTGTCAACTTGCTTCCTCCCAAAATGTGCTTAGTAGGAAGCTGCAATTGGAAGCAGAGCCAGGACTCAGACCCAGGCACGCTGAAAGGGGTGCCCAGCCAGTATCTTAATCACTGTCAGAAGCCTGCCCCAGCCTTAGCGTCTTTGACTGCAGGTAGAGCAGTGATAATATCTGTGTGTTGAAGGCTAAATAAGATACTGTGTATAAAGGTCTTAGAGTAGAAAATTGTATAAAGGTCTTAGAGTAGAAAATACTTTAAAACTTCAGTTTCTGAGGGTGGAGCTGTGTTGCAGGCGGTTAAACCACTGCTTATGATACCAGTTTACTAGATCAGAATCCTGGTTCAAGTTCCAGCTGCTTCTCTTCAAACCAGCTTTCTGCTAACGTGCCTGGAAAGGCAGCAGTGAGGGCCCAAGTATTTGGGCCCCTGCCACCCATGTGGAAGACCAGGATGGAATACATGGCTCCTGGCTTTAGCCTGGCCTGGACTTGGCTGTTGAGGTCATTGGGGAGTGAACATAACAGATGGAAGATCTCTCTCTTTCTCTCTCTCTCTCCCTCTGTCACTTTGCCTTTCTAATAGATAGATAGATAATTAAATAAGTGGTCTTTTAAAAAGTCAGTTTCTGTTATTACAGGGACAGTCTTTGCAAATTTTATGTTGTAGTGAAATATCTTAGTTCTCTGGAACATAAGTGATTTGATAATGAGAATTGTAGGGATTTTCTGTGCCTCCAAATGCATATGAATAACTTAATCCTGTATTTCACCTGTTTGAAATTGTACTTCTGGGCTGGCGCCGCAGCTCAATAGGCTAATCCTCCACCTGCGGTGCCAGCACACCAGGTTCTAGTCCCGGTCAGGGTGCTGGTTCTGTCCCAGTTGCTCCTCTTCCTGTCCAGCTCTCTGCTGTGGCCCAGGAAGGCAGTGGAGGATGGCCCAGGTGCTTGGGTCCCTGCACCCCATGGGAGACTAGGAAGAAGCACCTGGCTCCTGCCTTCGGATCAGCGCGGTGCACCGGCCACAGCGGCCATTGGAAGGTGAACCAACAGCAAAGGAAGACCTTTCTCTCTCTCTCTCTCTCTCTCACTGTCCACTCTGCCTGTCAAAACAATAAATAAAGAAAGAAAGAAAAAAGAAAAAAAAAAGAAATTGTACTTCTGATAAGATTTTCCCTTCACTCACGTTTTAGTACTTTCTCTTTATATTGGTGTGTGTTGATTTAATGGCTAAAATACATGGAACTAATTTCAGTGTAACTGATTTTAGTTTGGTTTTGTCTTTACTCACCTTTGTCAGATACACTTCAGATCTTTCTTCTGAAAAACAATGATAAGAACTCCTATTTTTAAAAATATTGATGAAGCTGTTTATTTCCATTCAGGAGGCAGAGAGGCAAGAGAGATCTCCCATCTACAGGTTCCCTTCCCCAAATACCCACAACGATTAAGAATTGGCTGAGACCAAATGTCCATCCTGAACTCCCTTTAAAAAGATCACTGAAGTGTTTTAATTAATTTTATTTTGACAGGCAGAGTTAGACAGTGAGAGAGAGAGAGACAGAGAGAAAGGTCTTCCTTTTTCTGTTGGTTCACCCCCAAAATGGCTGCTAAGGCCGGCGCGCTGCGCCGATCTAAAGCCAGGAGCCAGGTGCTTCTTCCTGGTCTCCCATGGGGGTGCAGGGCCCAAGGACCTGGGCCATCCTCCACTGCCTTCCAGGGCCACAGCAGAGAGCTGGACTGGAGGAGGAGCAACTGAGACAGAATCCGGTGCCCGGACTGGGACTAGAACCTGGGGTGCTGGTGAGGCAGGATTAGCCAAGTTAGCCGTGGCGCCGGCCTTAATTAATTTTTTTAAAGATTTCATTTATTTATTTGAGAGGTAGAGTTACAGACAGTGAGAGAGAAGGAGTCAGAGAGAAAGATCTTCCATCTGTTGGTTCAATCCCCAAGTTCACTCTCCAAATGACTGCAATGGCTGGAGCTGTGCCAATCTAAAGCCAGGAGCCAGGTGCTTCTTCCCGGGCTCCCACGTGGGTGCAGGGGCCCAAGGGGTTGGGCCATCTTCTATGCCTTCCCAGGCCACAGAGAGCTGGACTGGAAGAGGAGCAGCCAGGACTTGAACCAGCACCCATATTGGATGCCGGCACTGCAGGCGGAGGATTAACCTACTGCCCCAGGGCGCCAGCCCCTTAATTAATTTTTAAGTCCTAGAAAACAGCTTTGGTTGTACTTCTATTCTTGTTTGTTATCAATATTTTAGCTGAAGTTAGTTTAGCAGGTTGGTGTGTGGTTATTATGAAAAATAAAAAATCTAATACTGAGAAATCGCCCTGTGGTGGATTCTTTTTTTTTTTTTTTTTTTTTTGACAGAGTGGACAGTGAGAGAGAGAGACAGAGAGAAAGGTCTTCCTTTTGCCGTTGGTTCACCCTCCAATGGCCGCCGCGGCCGGCGCACCACGCTGATCCGATGGCAGGAGGCAGGAGCCAGGAGCCAGGAGCCAGGTGCTTTTCCTGGTCTCCCATGGGGTGCAGGGCCCAAGCGCTTGGGCCATCCTCCACTGCACTCCCGGGCCACAGCAGAGAGCTGGCCTGGAAGAGGGGCAACCGGGACAGAATCCGGCACCCCAACCGGGACTAGAACCCGGTGTGCCGGCGCCGCTAGGCGGAGGATTAGCCTAGTGAGCCGCGGCGCCGGCTTCCTCAAATCTTAATTGTTGGGACTGGTGCTATGGCATAGTGGGTAAGACTGCTGCCTGCAGTGCCGGCATCCCATATGGGCGCCAGTTTGAGTCCTGGCTGCTCCACTTTCGATCCAGCTCTCTTCTAAGGCCTGGGAAAGCAGTAGAGGATGGCCTAACTGCTTGGGCCCCTGCACCCACATGGGAGACCCGGAGGAGGATCTTGTCTCCTGGCTTCAATTGGTCCAGCTCCAGCCATTGTGGCTGCTTGGGAAGTGAACCAGTGGCTGGAAGACCTCTCCCTCTCCCTCTCTGTCTCCATCTCTGTCTCCGTCTCTCCCTCTCTCTCTGTCTCTCTGTAACTCTGTCTTTCAAATAAATAAATCAATCTTTAAAAAAAATCTTAATTGTCTCTAATTCCCATTGAAATTAATTTTGTTTAGGCTGCTTATCTGGTTAAAAAAAAGAAAGTTGAAATTAAAGGAAATACTGGCTTTTCTTTAACCTAAGAGTATAATGGAATTCTTGAAGATCTGTATGAAGAGCATGTGACAGGCATAATCAAGTCATTTCTTCTGAGTTTTGAGTTACTACATAAGCAAATAATATAATCTGTTTACTACATAAACAGAAAATATGAACTAGAACATAGTAGTAGAAATGTCTTCTGAAGAACTTTGGATGTGGATTTTTTTCTTGCGGCACAGCTTGGAACTTCTCCGCTTCACCTGGCAGCGCAGTATGGGCATTATTCCACCACAGAGGTTCTGCTCCGTGCTGGGGTGAGTCGGGATGCCAGAACAAAAGTGGACCGGACACCATTACACATGGCAGCTTCTGAGGGCCATGCCAGCATAGTAGAGGTTTTGCTTAAGGTATGTGTTTTCTTTTTGCCCTTAACTTTTGAAAGTAAGCCCCTCTCAAAGACCTCATGGTTTTTTAAGATGGAAAGGGGGAGCTAGTTTTATTGAATGCTTACTTGGTGTTTTAACTGTGGTATCTCATTTTCTGTGGTGTGTATAAGCCTGTCAAATGAAAATCATTTTAAAGTTCTCTTTCGTGAGGAAAGAAAAAGTTCCTTTACATGTATGTATTCTTAGTCAAACAATTGATTTCTTAGATCTTGGTCTACCTTGTGAAGGACAATAACTTTGTCTTAATATAAATGCTCATGCAAGGGAACATTAGACTTGGATGATTAACAGACAAACTAAGAAGTAATATAAATGGAGATTTTTCTTTCGTTATCTAAATGCTAAAGAATGATTTATAAAATTCTGAAAATACTGATAGGCTTTATAGACATTATTCTTGAAAGTTTTTATCCCAGCCTCTGAATCAGTCTATATAAAAGAAATATAATGTAAGATATAAATATCTACAATTTTATAATTGTAGATATTGTATTAGCTAGGTGAAAAAATTTAATATTTTTTATTTAATATTATTTCAATGACCTAAATGTAAAATTACTAATGAGCTATTCTGTATTGTATTTTTTTGTTGTTAAGTCTTTGAATTCCAGTGCATATTCATACATGCAACACATGTCTATTCTGAATAGCTGTGTGTCTCAAGGCTATCTTATTTGACAGTGTGCCTCTAGATAACTCACTTTTTCTTTCTTTCTTTTTTTTTTTTTTAAGATTTATTTATTTATATGAAAGGTAGAGTTACAGAGAGAGAGGAGAGACAGAGAGAGATCTGTGCCAGGCCAAAGCCAGGGACCCAAAGCTTCTTCCAGGTGTCCCATGTTGGCGCAGAGGCCCAAGGACTTGGGCCATCTTTGGCTGTTTTCTCAGATGCATTAGCAGGGAGCTGGATCAGAAATGGAGAGGCCAGGCCTTGAACTGGTGCCCCTATGGGATGCCGGTGCTGTAGGCTGCAGCTTAAGCACTGTGCTACAGCACCTGCTCCAGATAACTCACTTTTAATTCTTTACATTGCACTGGTTTTGAAAGCTACGTGTATTTGTGTTTATCATTTTCCTTCACTTCTTATGCCATTCTAGCCCTTTGTACCCATAGCTGGGTGACTGAGAAAATGATTGCTGCCTTCCTAAGAAGTTAGAGGAAAAGAGTTGGGAAATTCAACATGATAGAAAAATGACTGACAGGTGAATAGTGATTGTTGGGACATGTATCTAACACAGAAAAAACTGATGATGTTAGTTCTTGCTTCAAAGCATAGTGACTAGTCTTGTGAGAAATTCTTTACATTTTATCAGTCTCTTATTTTGAAATGTATTTTTATAGCATGGTGCTGATGTCAATGCAAAGGACATGTTAAAGATGACAGCTCTACATTGGGCCACCGAACACAATCATCAAGAGGTGGTGGAACTTTTAATCAAATATGGTGCTGATGTACACACACAAAGTAAATTTTGTAAAACTGCATTTGATATTTCAATAGACAATGGAAATGAAGATTTAGCGGAGATATTACAGGTAACTTTTGGCTTTTAATTTAAGAAAATAAAAGGAAGCTTTATAGGTAGATGGATCTTTGTCTTATAGATGGTTTCTACTATTTAGCTTATAGCTTTTCATTCTGGACATAGTTATCTTGGACAGGCTTTTTCTCTCTACTCCTCCTTATTCATCACTGTTCGTTTGCCTGATTATAATAACAGTCTTCTCATGTAATATTAAATTAGCTAAGCTAATTACTTTGTGTTTTGAGTTCTTGAATTGCCCTTCTTAGACATTTGATTCTATTAATTTTTTTGCATATTTGGATACATAATGCTTTTCAACATCTATTAATTACTTTGTAACTCTGCCTCTCAAATAAATAAATCTCTTAAAAAAAAAAAAACAAAAATTTTCAAGCAACCGTAATTTTGTCTCTTGAATGAGTGATGCATCTTTTTATCATTCTAATTTGTTTCTTTTATTTTTTTCATCATTCTCAAAAATACCTGTTTGTGAACATAGCTATTTCTGGGTTTTGAGCAGGTATTGTAATAACTAACATTACTCTTCTTCAACTGGATAATACTGATGTAAATTATCTTCCCTACTTATTGCTGCTTCTTGCCCATCTTCTTGTGCCTCTTCTCAGTAGAACTCTTCTTCTCTAAGACCATCTGACTCTGCTGAGTTACTTAAAAGATGTGTTATGTTCGTAAAAGTGATTCTACCTTCTCTCTCCTCATTCTTTTACTCCTAGGAGTGCAGTTTAGGGTTTGGGATTGAAGAAGGGGAATCGTTAATTGCAAAGGCCAGGGGTTATAAATGTAGTGTTGTGTATTATTGAATGTAGTGGATGGTTTAATTTAAATGTTACCCAATCAAGGAACTTAGGCTCTAAATTCATAATCATGATTTACCACTACATTGTCAGTAGACCCAGATAAATATTTCCATTTGTATTATATCATATTTCTTAGAGAGTATTCCTTTGTATGTGTGCTTGTTCTGCACTGAGTATCTTTGCTCTGTGTTCTGGTTATAATTCTGAAAACACTGTGGTGATTTGTCCCCTAGATCGCTATGCAGAACCAAATCAACACAAACCCAGAGAGTCCCGACACTGTGACGATACATGCTGCAACACCGCAGTTTATCATTGGACCTGGAGGGGTGGTGAACCTAACAGGTCTGGTATCTTCAGAAAATTCATCCAAGGCAACAGGTATTGAGATGCATATAGGCTAGCTGTTGGGATTTTATTCTTTAGTAGGAATTCATCCTTTTCAGAAAGGACTGTTGGCGGATGAGGGTAAGAGTCCATCAGGCACTTCAGTGTTCTTTGGTATAATTGGCAAGAAACAAATTTTTGTGAGACAAAACAATCTAAAGAAAGGTGATACTGCAAAATGTGTTGTAATATTACCTTTCATAAGCTACTGCTATCCAAGCTTCATTTAAGAGTTAAGAAAAATAAAATAGAATATCAGAAATATATGGTGGACTAAGCTCCTTACAAATTCGAGTCTGTTTTTTCTTTTCTCATAGATGAAACGGGTGTGTCTGCTGTTCAGTTTGGAAACTCCTCTACATCAGTATTAGCTACATTAGCTGCCTTAGCCGAAGCGTCTGCTCCCTTATCCAATTCTTCTGAAACTCCAGGTTAGAAAAGCAAGTCAAATACATACATTAAAAGTTGCATATCCAAATATTTACAAAGGCTAGGAAGATGATATAAATATAGAAGACTAAGTGGGCAGGGTTGAGATTATGCTTATCTCTGGAGGCTGAGGTATGGTGGGAGTATCTGCTACACAGCACTTGCTAATTCTAGTCATGTGCCTAGTATTGTCAGATTCTGTTTTTTCATGAGAAGCTGAAAAATCTGTATTTTAGAAGAATTCTAAATCTTGGCAACTAATTAAAATTGAAAGCAAATTTGTCTGTTTACCCAATTTGGCCCTTTTTTTTTTTTTATCAGTTAGTGATTTTTTTGTTTAAACTACCAGGGTGGGTGTTACGGCATAATAGGTTGAACTGCCTGCTGCTTGGGCTGCCCACATCCCACTTTGGAGTACTTGGTTTGAGTCCTTGCTACTCTACTTCCAGTCTGGTTTCCTGCCAGTATGCATTCTGGGAGGCAGCAGATGGTGGTTCTCTTCTTCCCACAAGAGAGACCCAGATGGAGTTCTAGGCTCCTGGCTTTGCCTGGCCCAGCCCTGGCTACAGTAGGCATTTGAGGGGTGAGCCAGCAAATGGAAAATCCTTCTCCCTCTGCAAAATAAATAAGTAAACATTTTTAAGAAATCTATATAGGAGCCAGCACTGCATAGTAGGTTAAGCCTCCTCCTATGGTGCCAGCATCCCATGTGGGCGCTGGTTTGTGTCCCAGCTGTTCCTCTTCCAATCTAGCACCTTGCTAATGGCCTGGGAAAGCAGTGGAAGATGACCCAAGTTCTTGGGCCCCTGCACTCACGAGGGAGACCTGGACGAAGCTCCTGACTTCAGATTGGCTCAACTCCAACCATTGAGGCCATCTGGGGAGTAAACCAGCAGATGGAAGAACTCTCTCTCTGTCTCTGCGTCTCTTGTCTTTCTCTCTGTAATTCTGCCTCTCAAATACATAAGTAAATTTTTAAAAAATCTATATAAATAAAATAGATACATGTGAACTGAACTGTCTTTTTCATAAATTTTATTTTGGTGGTTTTAGTAGACTGATAAAATCTCAATGACTGACAGAACTAAGAAATAGCTGAAAACCAAAGTTAAATGTTTACCTGTTGGCCGGCGCCGCCTGCGGTGCCGGCACACCGGGTTCTAGTCCCGGTCGGGGCGCCGGATTCTGTCCCGGTTGCCCCTCTTCCAGGCCAGCTCTCTGCTGTGGCCAGGGAGTGCAGTGGAGGATAGCCCAAGTGCTTGGGCCCTGCACCCCATGGGAGACCAGGAGAAGCACCTGGCTCCTGCCATCAGATCAGTGCGGTGCGCCAGCCGCAGCGGCCATTGGAGGGTGAACCAATGGCAAAAGGAAGACCTTTCTCTCTGTCTCTCTCTCACTGTCCACTCTGCCTGTCAAAAAAAAAAAAGTTTACCTGTTATTGAATAATGATGCCTCATGTTAATGGAACAAGATTTACCTTTATTTTTAACCAACCAGACTACTTCTTACTATAATTATATAAGTAAAGTATTTTTAAATATGAAATTTTTAAAACCCTAAGAAAATATTCTTCATCCTGTTGTATAAGCCTCCTGTTGTATAAGCCAGTCTATTTAGGTCAGTGCTTATAAAAGAATACTTGTCATCCAGTCTTTAAATTAATGACTTTTCAAAGTTTGAGCAATAATAGTGGCAGTAACAATTCATTGAATGTTTACTATGTGTGCTAGGCACTGTGGTAAATGTTTCACTTACAGTCTCATCTGATTCTTACTAGAGAACTTCAAGGTACATATAACTGGATCTATTATTTTTATTGAAGTATAAAACCTTCCTTTTTTTTCTGTTTTTCTGACTAGTTAGTGATGATACACATTTACCCATTATCCACCTTCTTTCACATCTTATTCAAAGTTTGATTCTGAGCCTTGGTATTTGAGAGTCTAAAGATTTTTCTGAATCACTTTTGCCTGGTAGCAATTGTGTGCATCCTCATACTGACATGCTGCTTTTATAACCCATGCCTGTAATTTTTTTTTTTTTTCACCTTTGTAACTGCAGAGGCATATTAAAGAAAACGGATTTTTTGGTAGTTTCTGTTTGATTAAACTTATAGATTCTGTTTCTTTGATTAAATTGATGTCCCTGAAAGTTAAGCAGCTTTTCTTGAAAATCAGCTGGAATTCATTTTGATGTCTGACTGTTTGAATTTGTTGCACTAACTTATTGAACTTCTTTGAAAATGTTATGACCTAGTCCAAGAGAATTAGCAGTTTCAGTAGACTTTTACTGCATATAACTTCTATGAGCACAACACTTTTTCATTTCAGTGCTACATTACAATGGAATCTTTTTGAAGATATTTTAAGAACTCTAAGAACTAGTACAGGTAAACATATCACTAGTGTAAACAGTTCAGCTGAAGTGCATAATCAAGGAATTATCTTCCCCCAGCTCAATTTGCACAAGCTCAGGTGAAGATACAGCTGCCACAAATTATTTCTGCGCCTCTTGGCTATGCAGTTTTCTTTTATCACCAATCATCAGACTCATCTAATTTTAGAAATGTATATATTTAAGTATATCTTGGGATCTGGGGATAATAGTAGTGCCACCTCCATTTTACATATAAAGCTTACATGGTGAAGCTGAGGTTTGTGGAGGTTAAATAATTTTATCCAAGGTCACCTCACTATTAGGTGGTGAAAGGAGGTTTGTGTTCAAAGTTTGTTTCCCAAGTTGTCTTTCGCCTCTGTGACATACTGTATTCCTGTGGGCTGCTCTCTCGTGGTGTATTTATAATTTGGTTTGTGACAGGAATAGGTATTTGTATGTTTGTCATTGTGTCTTTTTTTTTTTTTTTTAAGATTTAGTTATTTATTTTGAAGGTCAGAGAGAGAGAGAGAGAGACAGGTTTTCCATCTGTAGGTTCATTCCCCAGATGGCTACAATGGCCAGTGATAACCCAGGCTTAAGCCAAGAGCCAGAGGCTTCATCCAGGTCTCTTATGTGGGTTGCAGGGACCCAAACACTTAGGCCATCTTCTGCTGCTTTCTCAGGCAATTAGCAGGGAGCTGGATCAGAAGTGGAGCAGCAGGGACGTGAACCAGGGGCCATATGGGATACAGGCAGCAGCTTTACCTGCTATGCCACAATGCTGGCCACCTGTGTTTGCTATTCCTTTTTCTACTTTAAAAAAAATTTAATTATTTTATTTGAAAGGCAGAGTTAGAGACAGAGACAGAGACAGAGAGAGAGAGAGGGGTCTTCCATCCGCTGGTTCACTCCCCAGGTGGCTGCATTGGCTGGAGCTGTGCCCATCTGAAGTCAAGAGCCAGTAGCTTCTCCCACATGGATGCAGGGGCCCAAGGACTTGGGCCATATTCTGCTGCTTTCCCAGTCTATAGCAGAGAGCTGGTTCAGAAGTGGAGCAGCCAGGACTTGAACCGGCGCCCAAATGGGATGCTGGCACTGCAAGTGTGGCTTTACATGCTATGCCACAGTGCTGGCCCCATGCTTGCCCTTTTAAGATGATGGTAGACCACAGTATAAGAACCATCAGTACATTAATTATTACTGCTCATATTATTTCCGCTAAGCACTTTCTCTGGATACCAAATAGCCAGAAGTAACAGCAGATGGACTGCATTTCAAATGGAAACTGACTGGCCAGCCTGGCCCCTAAATAAAGAGAAGGCACTTGGGAAAGTCCATGGTACCATGCCATTTCACTTAGGAATTAATGGCTTTAAATAGTGCTGTTGTGATTACATTAGCCCTACCTTTGACATATAGTACATTTTAGTACATTTATTGCAAAAGCAGATGATATTTCTATCTTGATATTATAAGCAATATAGCTGTGAGTTATCAATGCTTGGTAATTAGAATGTTCTTTGAATTAGTGTTGTTGTTCAGAGGTTGGAGGTGGGAGTGGGTGTAGCAGGTAGGTGTTGAGTTGTACCCTGAACAGTGATAGGATTTAGATAGATAGGAACTTATTCCAAGCCGTCCTATTTTGGAAATCATTCCACAATGAATAGAGAAAGCTTTTTTTTTTTTGAGGATTACAGTTCCACTTTTTCTCAGGAAAATCTCTGCTGTGTAGTATCCTACTTATTAATAAATAGAGGCACTCTTGCTTTCTTATCTTTCTATCAAAGCTTATAGGCCACTCTGAGACATTTAATCTGAAGAGTTAAGTAGGAATTAGGGAAAAGTTTGGGGGAAACGTTTTAGGAAGAGGGACACGTGAAGCTTATGAAGCAGGAAACAGTTTGTGTTTTCAGGGGACCCCGAGGCCAGCGTGACTGAACCTAGTGAGTGGGAGAGTAACTCAGGGTAGTTTAAATAAGATTAAGGACTGAAAATGACTACTTTGGGGGCTGGCATCGTGGCATAGAGGTAAGCCCTGCCTGTGACTCTGGCATCCCATAAGGGTGCTGGCTAGCTCATGTCCTGGCTGCTCCAGTTGTGAGCCAGTTCTCTGCTGTGGCCTGGAAAAGCAGTGGAAGATGGATGGCCCAAGTACTTGGGCCCCTGCATCCTCGTTGGAGACCTGGAAGAAGCTCCTCACTCCTGACTTCTAGCTCCTAGCTTGGGATTGGCCCAGCTTCTGCTGTTGTGGCCATCTGGGGAGTGAACTAGTGATAGAAGAGCTCACTTGCTCTGTGTGTGTGTTTCTCTCTTTTAACTCTGCCTTTCAAATAAATAAATAAATCTTTTAAAAAAAATAGATACCTGTGACCACTTGTCTTTTGTCTTTAAGGCAACTTCTGCTATTTGCTAAGAAATTGGTTTTTCCAAAGATGTGAAGCATCTGGTAGCTGTTACAAGTTCCCTTCTTTTTCTTTTATTAGTGAAATTTGAAGCAGGTAACTTTTGCAACATTGTTTTTTGATCTCTTCTGAAAATAGAAAAATAAAACTGAATTGCCTTTAAGGATAAATTACTGAGCCTAAGTTTTTTGCTTTCATTTTTAATGTTCAATTGCAGGCATACCTTTGAAATATTTTTTTTACTCAATAAATATTGTTTTTATACATTATTTAAGCATTTCTACATAGAATTCTCAATGTTTTAGAACATTTCAAAGTCAGCTCCTTGCCCCTGTCTTACTTCATATTTATGGCCTTGCGATTTGAAAGTCTCTCATTGAACAAGAGAGCTCCGATATCTTCAAAAGTGCCGTGGATTATCTGGGCACTCTGTAAATATTACAACTTGACTTTTGAATTAGACCAGTGAATATGTATGATATTAGAGTTACTTTTTATCCAGGGAAATTTTACATTTTAGGATATATATATATATATATATTTAAAATCAGTCATCTTTAAAGTTTTTAGGCTTTCTCTTTTATTCTTACGTATTTCAACATTTCACTGTTGGGTTGTTCTTAGGGCTTTAGGGGATACTTTGTATTTTTACATAATTGGTTTACTTTTAATTTTTTTCTTAAATACCTTACCATAGCAGTACTTAAAAAGAAAGCTTTTTAGATTAAAGGCAAGAACTCTGATTATTATTTTAATGATGGTCATTACAAGTAGTGCAAAGATGAAAGTTCTTGAGTTGTGTCTTGATTGTGTGTGATCTTAGAAATTTCGTACATATGATTATGGTTTATTTACTATTTGTAGTTAGCATTCAACCAGACTGAACCTTTTTCAAATAATTTTTTAAAATCAAAGCAATAGTTAATGTGTTTCAAAACCTTAGTAGTTGTTCCATTGAATATATTACTGTTTATGCCCAGAATTTCATTTTGTAATTATCTCTCTGAAATTTTCTTAAGTGCTTGGTGATAAAACCTTGTAGTTTAAGGCAAACAAAAATAATGAGAGAACTCTAAACAAGGTTTTGTTTTGTTTTTTTCTTCATGTATTTTTGGTATTCTGCAGTTTTTATTGTGACCCTTGATTACCGAACAACAGGGTTGAAGCCAGGTCTGTTGCCATGTGTACATTGTAAAAACTGGGGTCCCAGGATTTGTCTTTTTTACAAAAACAGTTCATCTGTTTGTGGCCTCTGTTTTTGAGTATATCTTGTGATCATTAATATCCTTAATGTTCTGTTGTGAGTTTGTAGCAACTCAGCATGTTTCAGAGCAGTTGTGTGTCTGGATGGTAACTTGATTTCAGTCAATAATGATTTTATTTAATTACATTTTTTAAGGTATTGCCTGCAATAACATGTTAAAAGGAAAAAAATGTTAGTTAGATACAATTTTTATGTCATTTCTATTTTCTGCATTAGTTATATCAAAATGTTTATATTGATAGTTTTTAAACCCACAAAAGGAATGAACTGCATACCTTTCCTTTGTTTCACTAGCTGTTAACATTTGCCATATCCAGAAGTTCTCTCTTTGACACGTGTGTGTGTGTGTGTGTGTATGGTATATGCACATGCACTAATTTTGTCAAATTATGTGAAAGTAGCAGACATTGTAACACATCAGTTGTAAATATTTTGGCATATACCTTCCAAGAACAAGGACAGACATTTACACATGCATAGCTCCACTATATTTCCTAAAAACATCAACATTAATTTAGTATTGTTATCTGATACGGTTCTTACCCAGATTTTCCCAGTTGTCCCCAAAATGTCCTTAATAGCTGTTAATTTTTAATTTAGGATCCAACCAAAATTCACATGTTGTATTTGATTATTTATGTCTCTTTAGTCTCTCTGCCACCTGGGACAATTTCAGTGCCTTCATTACTCTTCATGGAATTGAAATCTTTGTGCAGTCCAAGCTAGTTTTCTGCAGGAACACTCACATTCTGGATTCATTGGTTTCTGAATAAAGTTAGGTCAGACATTTCCAGGGTCAGCACAGGTGGTATTTTGTAACTTTCCATGGCCTCACATCAGGAGGCACATAGTATCAGGCCATTCTGATAATGACAACTTGATGAAAGCCATGATGGCCAGGTCTTTACAGGTATTATTTTCCCCTTTTGAACTAAGGATTGGGATACTTTGAGAACATATGAATATCCTATTTCCCCAAAACATTTCACAGTACTTTTGTCATCTATTAGTGATCCTTGCTTGAATCAACTGTTGTTTTACATTGATGATATTTCTTAATTTTTCATCTCTTTTATTATTAATTAGATGTCATTCTTTCAAGATTTTCCCTTTGTCTCTTTCTGTGCTATTGTTTTACAAGGTATTATAGATAGATTGTTAAAAATTGAGCATGATTATGATCCATTACTATCATTATTTTTTGTGACATTTTTCTACTGAGGTGTGACATGACTACAGAAAAGTTCATAGAGCAAATAGTGATTTATCACAAAGTGATTACTAGTTTGTTAATGTTGCTGAGTTCATGAATGGAATGTCTGGTTCACATCTCTGGGTACCGTTTTGATTAGATTCATTCATGTTTTGCATGTAGTCACTGTATTTCCTGTGTCTTGTATTTCATCGTATGACTTTACCACAGTGTATGTACTATCAGTGTATATCTGGGTTGTTTCCAGTTTTTGACTGATGTGAGTAAAGCTATTGAATGTTCCTGGGCATATCTTTTGGGATCAGTAGTATGGTATAAGCCTGCCTGTGGGAAAGCATTTTGATAGTATTAACTTAAGGTTTCTTTACCCAGGTAGGACAGAGGTGCTGTTTCTAGTTGTCAGAATCCTCTCTGAGCCTCTCATAAGTTATTATTAAGAGCATTTTTTGGGAATTCATTTGTGTAAATGTTAATATGTAATGTTGTTTACTATCATGCATACCAGATCTGCTACTTATTATCATGGCAATCCTTGCTCACTCAGTCCAATAGGGGAAGACTGTTCATTCTGTATGACAACTTGTATGTAAATGGAATATATAACCATATTAAAAATTGTCTTTGAATCATGGAATTTTATTAAGCAGATGTAACCTTTCTCATGACCTAGGAGATCTTACATATTTTATATTTCATATAACTAAATGAAAAGATACTGTTTGTTTATATATGCCAAGATAATTGGAACTCATTTGTCACGAATTGTGACTTGAAGTCAACTGTTTACGTAGGTATCTGTAGCACAACTAGAAACTGAGTTTACAGCCATGTAAAAATTTTCCTCTGTAAGAAAGAAGCAGAGAAAGCAAAAACAGCAGATAAAGCAAAAATTAAATTTGTTTATACTGTTATAAGTGTTCACTGATTGTTAGTGTTTTTTTCCTTTCCTTCTTTTTTTTTTTCTCTCCAGTAGTGGCCACAGAGGAAGTGGTTACTGCAGAATCTGTGGATGGTGCAATTCAGCAAGTAGTTAGTTCAGGGGGTCAGCAAGTCATCACCATAGTTACAGATGGAATTCAGCTTGGGAATTTGCACTCCATTCCAACCAGTGGGATAGGTCAGCCCATCATTGTGACCATGCCTGATGGACAACAAGGTTAGTAGTAGACATTTACATGAAGTTTATGTTTATTTTCAGTTCAAAGGAAATTGCTACATGTTTTCCAAAGCCTTTATCTTTTCCCTGAAGTATGTTTTTGTAACCTTTTGCAGCAACTTCATTGCTTGCTTTTATTTGCACAGGCTAATATTTAAAGTAGCTTTCTTTCTCTGAGTATACACTAGCTGGAAGGAGAAGTTGCCCCCAGAATATTCTGGTTGGAAAATGAGCTGAAATACTGCAACAAATAATTCAAAATCAGTGTTGGACAGTAATTTCCTAGATAATTATATATAATTCAAATATCATAATTAACTTTTCAAAATGCCATTTAAGAAAAAGCTACTTAAAAAGAAGTTGAGCTTGGAATTTGTGGTAGGAATATGGTGGCAGCTTCTAGAACTTTGTTGTGAACTTTCCCTTTCTAATTTTTTCCTTCCTGGAAACTACAGAGAAAAACAAGATGGCTGCAAAAGCACCAACTACATTTTCAGTGAAATTAAAGGGTTTAATAAACCTCTAAATTCCACATTTTAGTGCTGCTATTAAAAGCATCTAGGGGGCCAGCACTGTGGCCTAGCGGGTAAAGCCACCGCCTGCAATGCCAGCATCCCATATCTGTGCTGGTTCAAGTCCCTGCTGTTCCACTTCCGATCTAGCCCTCTGCTATGGCCTGGGAAAACAGTAGAAGATGGCACGAGTCCTTGGGCCCCTGGCACCGTTATAGGAGACCTGGAGGAAGCTCTTGTCTCCTGGCTTCAGATTGGCACAGCTCCAGCTGTTGTGGCCAATTGGAGAGTAAACCAGCGGATGGAAGACCTCTCTCTCTCTCTCTCTCTCTCTCTCTCTTTCTCTCTTTCTCTCTTTCTCTCTTTCTCTCTTTCTCTCTCTCTGCCTCTCTGCCTCTCTCTGTGTAACTCTGACTTTCAAGTAAATAAATCTTAAAAAAAACAAAAAGGCATCTAGGACAGTTACAGTGTGGACAAAAGGACCCTTGTGAAAATCCACAATCATGCTTCAAGAAAAGAAAAAAAGGGTAGACCTAAGAAGCCACCAATAAGTATACACTTCCAGAAAGATAGGGCTATAGCCTAAGTAGGAAATGCTACAAGCAGGTCTAAGATAGAATGTGTCCTGAGTAGCAGGGACACAGGGAGAGAAGTACAGAAAGACCTGAACAAGCACCACTCTATATGCCATCCCTGCTGGGGGCGAAGCGTGGTACACACATAATCTTTAGGAAACTAACTACAACTGTCAAGCCTGCTGCTTTGTGGCCAGCACAGGAGTTGATAAAGGCCAGGGCTAGGTATCATGTCTCTTAAAACAGGTTTGATTTTGAGTGACGGAAGAGGTATAGCACTGAAGAGACAGGTTTCAAATGAAGTTGTTGCTGTAGCCATAGAAGAGGAATCCCTTGACCTTAGAAACCTGGAAGGTCTTTTCTGTCCTGTTCTGTGGAGTTCTGCAGATAGCTGGTCAGAGATGTTGGTCAGACCCAGGTGCTTTTGTAAAGCTTTAAAGAACTAATTTTGATTATTTAGAAAACAAGAAGGGGCCGGCGCCGTGGCTTACTTGGTTAATCCTCCGCCTGCGGCACCAGCATGCATTATAGGTGCCGGGTTCTAGTCCCAGTTGTTCCTCTTCCAGTCCAGCTCTCGGCTGTGGCCTGGGAGGGCAGTGGAGGATGGCCCAAGTGCTTGGGCCCTGCACCCGCATGGGAGACCAGGAGGAAGCACCTGGTTCCTGGCTTCGGATCAGTGCAGTTCCAGCCATGGCGGACATTTGGGGAGTGAACCAATGGAAGGAAGACTTTTCTCTTTGTCTGTCTGTCTGTCTCTCTCTCTCTCTCTCACTGTCTATAACTCTACCTGTCAAATAAATTAAAAAAAAAAAAGAAAACTTTCAAAATATTTTTATCAGAGAGACATAACCAGACATTATATAGATGGAGGCTGGAAGTCCATGTTCAAGGTATTGATAGCTTTGGTTTCTTCAGAGGCAACTTTCCAATGACTGCCTCTGGCTGTGTTCTCATGGTGTATGTTATTTGTGTTGTGATCTCATACAGGATGAGGGCCCACCGCATAGAATCACATTTTAACTTAATTACCTCTTTAAAGGCACTTTCTCCAAAGACAGTCACATTCCAAAGTACTAGAGTTTAGCACTTCAAAATCTAAATTTGGGAGGGCACAGTTCAGCTCATGTGAAAAAAAGCATGTTTTTTTTTTCTTTTTTTTTTTTTTTAAGATTTATTTATTTAAAAGAGTAACAGAAGAAAGAGACACACAGAGAGATTGTCCATCTACTGGTTCGCTCCCCAAATGTCAGAGAACAGACCGAAACAAGAAGCCAGGAGCTCTGCCTGGGTCTCCCACATGGGTGGCAGGGGCTCAGATGGTTGGGCCATCTTATGTTGCTTTCCTAGGTGCATTAGCTGGGTTGGAAGGAAAGCAGCCAGGACTTGCACCAGCGCTCTGGTGTGGGATGCTGGCATCAGAAGTGTGTGGTTTTTTAAAAAGATTTTATTTATTTATTTGAGAGGTAGAGTTACAGACCGTGAGAGCAAGAGACAAAGAGAGAGGTCTTCCTTCTGTTGGTTCACTCCCCAAATGGCCACAACGGTGGAGCTGCGCCTATCCGAAGCCAGGATCCAGGAGCTTCTTCCTAGTCTCCCACCTGGGTGCAGGGGCCCAAGCACTTGGGCCATCCTCCACTGCCTTTCCAGGCCATAGCAGAGAGAGCTGGATTGGAAGAGGAACAGCCGGGACTAGAACCGGCACCCATATGGGATGCCAGTACTGCAGGTGGAGGATCAACCTACTGCGCCACAGTGCTGGCCCCACAAGTGTGTTTTAACCCTCTGTGCCACACTGCTGGCCCCCAAAATTCTTCTCTGTAATTTCCAAATGGATTCTGAAATATATGGGAGGTAGAGAGAAGCAGGAAAACTCTGGAATAGAAGAGCAATGAGAGGGACCTCTTGAATATTAAAATAAACTTTAAAAATATTTATTTGAGGGGCAGAAAGACAAATAAGATGGGAGAGCTATCTTTTCATTCACTCCCCAAATGCTTATAACAAATGGGGCTGGACTGGGCCAAAGCTAGGAACTCAATCCAGGTCTCCCATGTGGGTGGCAGGGACCCAACTGCCTGAGCATCAGCAAGAAGCTAGAATCAGGAGCACAGCCAGGACTTGAACCTAGGCACTCCATGATAGGCTGTAGCCATCCCAGTGTCTCAACCACTAGGCAAAATGCCTGCCCCCTTGCACATTAATTTTTGTGGTCCTGTTTCTGTTGGAAACAAAGATGGCCTCTCCATATGTTTACATTTATGTAAAGTTACTCAGAATTGATGGAGCTGTCGTTGTGGTATAGCAGGTAAAAGCTGCCTCCTGCAACACCAGCATCTCAAGTCCCAGCTGCCCCGCTTCTGATCCAACTGCTTGCTAAAGCACCTGCAAAAGCAGCAGAAGCTGACCCCAGTGCTTGGGTCCCAACAGCCATGGGGGAGACCCAGATAACACTTCTGGCTCCTGGTTTTGGTCTAGTCCAGCCATGGCCATTGTGGCCATTTGGGGATTAAACCAGTGGATAGAAGATCAGTTTCTGTCTCTCTCTCTTTCTACTGTCTCTTCTTTTTCTCTCTCTGTAACTCTGCTTTTCAAATAGATAAAAAAAAAAGTCTTAAAAAAAGTCAAAATTGAAACAAAATCCAATAATCCAACAGGAAAACAAAGTTAATGAACATTTTTGTTAATGGTATGTCTATACAAGGGAATATTATGCAGCTTTGTATATACTGATGTAAGATACACTTAAATATATGAAATGAAAAAAAAGCAACTGCAGAACAATATATCTAGTTAATGTATTTATGTTGAATGTACAGAGGTATATTATGTGTATGCTACCTTTTGTGTAAGCAAGAGAAAATGAGAATATATATTCATGTTTTTTATATAAATTAATGTAATATAAGAACTAATGAAAGTGATTTTATCAGCAGTGATGAGCATAAGATCTTTAAATAATTTACTTTGATTATTACATATTGGTTTGATTCTTGAGCCACATGGATGAATGTATTTATCTATAATACATATTACCTGTAATAAGTGGCTGTTTTAATGGCAGGTTTAAGTAAAAAGCACAAAAAAATGAAGACAAATAGAGACCTCTTTATAAAAAGCAAGTCACTGTTTGGAAGTTACTGGTTTGGAATACAGTTATTTAGATGAATACCATCAACAATGTCAAGACTAGTTCTATCTCATCTCACCTGTTTCATAATGAAGTAATGTATATTGCTTTTTCATTTTAGTATTAACAGTACCAGCAACAGACATTGCTGAAGAAACTGTTATAAGTGAAGAACCACCAGCTAAAAGACAATGTATCGAAATAATTGAAAACCGGGTGGAATCTGCAGAAATAGAAGTAAGGAGTCTTTTACCCGGTGTGTTTGGCCGCAGTCATCCAAAATAAATCCATTTTGTTTTTCTTTATTTTTTGTCTTTTATATTTATTACTAACAGTGTTGTTTTGATTCAGAATGAATGTGCAGAGTACCATTTTGTTTAATTTTTTTGCATTATACATATAGTAAGCCCTCAATAAATAAATATTGAATGAATGAATGAGTGATTGGAGAATTTGTTTGTAACAAAATGTGTCATCTTGGTAATATTGGAATGTCTTTGATTCTTGCCATGCCATCATTTATTTTCTGTTAAATTTACATACACCATTCTCACAAATCTCTAAAGGAAAATACCACTATATACTGACAAAAAAAGTTTTTTTCCTTTCAAAAATTAAAAATTGGGGTGGAAGGGATAGTCTCGTAATCAAGGTTAGTATTTGTTAAGTGGGGTATTTGTTTTTATTTTAAAGTCAGAGTGACAGCCAGCCAGAGAGAGAGAAATCTCATTCATTGGCCGCAGCAGTCAGTTTGGGCCACATTGAAGCCAGGAGTCTAGAGCTCTTTCCTGTTCTCTCACATGGGTGGCAGGGGCCCAAGTATATGGGCCTTCGTCCACTGCCTTCTTAGATGCATTAGGATGGAGCTAGATCAGAAGCAGAGCAGGTGGGACTGAAGCCAGCACTCTGATATGGGATGCCAGTACCCCAAGCTATAGTTTAAGCTGTGCCACAACACTGACCTCCAAGTCAAGTATTTTTTAAAAAGTGATGTATAACTGCTGGTTTTTCTGTTTGTCCTTTTGGGAACTTAAATTTATACTTACTGTTAATAGGGTCTAACTCCCCTCCCCACTCACTCCTCCCTCCCAGGATTTTTTCTTACATAGCTGTAAATAAAGTTGTGCCCCCAAGTTTGATAATAACATATCAAATGAAAACTGAGTTCACATCCCACCTCTAACTTGGAGGCAAATTATCTTTCCTTTTTGAGCTTCAGTTTTAGTTTCTGTCAAATTAGAATTTAGAATAATTATATCTCCATTTTAGAGTTTTCATAAGAATTGGAAAAGTCAGCATTCTCATGCATATTAATAACACCTGATTTATATATGTGTGTGTATGTGTGTGTATAGTAAATTTGATGAACATTTAGTAATTTGTTAAAGATTTACTTATTTATTTGAAAGGCAGAGTTACAGACAGAGAGAGGGAGAGACAGAGAGAGATCTTGCATCTGCTGCTGGCTCACTCCCCAAATGGCTGCAATGGCTGGAGCTGGGCCAGCCTGAAGCCAGGAACCAGGAGCTTCTTCTAGGTCTCCCACGTGGGTGCAGAGGCCCAAGGACTTGGGCCATCTTCCACTGCTTTCTCAGGCACATAAGCAGGGAGCTGAATTGGAAGTCAAGCACCCAAGACTTGAACTGGTGTCGATATGGGATGCCGGCGCTGCAAATGGCAGCTTTATCCACTACACTACAACACCAGGCCCTCATTTAGTAATTCTTTGTAAAAGTTCTTGTTATTGTCAAAAAGGATATTTTTTTGTTTGTTTTAGAAAGCAATAGAATTCTAACTAAAGACAATTAGAAAATGTTCTTCCCAAATTTATTTAAATGTAAGGCTGGTACATCTTTGGCCATAATCACAAATAATATATTACTGAGTTAAAAAGAAGCTGATTCATGGTTTAACCAGAACGTTTGATAAAATTATAACTTTTGATTATTTAGTGTGGATTGTTTTATGTTGTCAAATTTTAAAGTATTATACAGGGTGTTGAAGTTCTTATTCACAAATTAATAGTTTATTGCATTGAATAGTATTATTTTATTGTTTATATCTGATATGTGAGATTATCTTTTTCAGGCATGTAAGGTGAAAAAATTTTACTATGTACTTTGCTTTTACTATCTAATAAAATATTTTTAAGTCACTTGAATTTTTATTAAATGTAAATTTATTTAATTGAATTAACTATATTTTAAAATAATATGCACCTGTAATTACTCAGCAACCATTGGGTGTTTCCCTCACAGTTCAGCCTGATTTCTCTCAGAGTCTTTCAGAAATTAGAATAATTGCAAATAATAGGAAGGTATGAATTGAGGTATAAGAGTGAACTAGAACAAAAGAGATGAACTTTTACGAAAGTGGAGTGTTTGTTTTATTTCTAGTAATTAGAGCTTTTGGGGAATGGAAATTATATTCTTTCTCTCTGGAAATCCTTAAGCCAATGTTGTGTAGAATTCGTAGGGTATTTGTGCAGTAAGAGATGGTAGAGGTGAGTGAGTTGGAGATACAGGGTGAAGGGATTACCTTCAGTGTTTCCACTGAACTGAGTAATTTTGCTGCAATACATGAAGTCATTTGAGTTCATTTTCTTAAATAGCAAATAGAGTTATCATGGGGGTGGACTTTTATATTTCTTTCTAAATGACAGCTTGTTCATCAATCCAAAGAGTTTATGAAGCACTGGTTCTCAACTGGGGCAACTTTGACCCCAGAGGGCATTTGTCATTGTCTGCAGACATTTTGGGCTGTCACAAGGAGTGGCATTCCACTGTCATTTAGTGGCAGAGGCCAGTTGAACATTGTGCAGTGCTCAGGACAGTATCCCAGAATAAAGAATTATGTGGTCCAGAAATAACAATAATGCTGCGATTGAGAAACTAAAGGAATTTAAAAGCTAGCTAAGTCATTGTATGGAATCTAACGTACTTGAATTCTTCCTGTGTGTCTGTCAATAAAGAAGGTGCTAAAAATCTGTTTCACTGAGTTTCCCAACTAACACTGGAGAGTGTTACTAATAATTCTGGAAAAATTCATTGAAATTATAGAAAATTTATACATTGTGTATATTGTAGAAACACAAGAAATAAAGTATGTTTGTTTTTAGGAGAAGATACAAATATAGCACCAAATTGCAATACTGTGTGTAATTTTTTTAAAAAGATTTGTTTGTTTATTTGAAAGAGTCACAGAGAGAGGAAGAGACAGAGAGATCTTCCATCGCTGGTTTACTTCCCTGGATAGTTGCAGTGGCCAGGGCTGGTCCAGGCCAAAGCCAGGGGTCAGGAGCTTCCTCCAGGTCTTTATGTGGATGGCAGGGACCCAACCACTTGGGCCATCTCCCATTGATTTTCCAGGCCATTAGCAGGGAGCTGGATTGGAAGTGGAGTAGCTAGGACACAGACTGGTGGCCATATGGGATGCCAGTGTGTCACAGGCTTTACCTGCTGTGCCACAGCGCCAGCCTCTATTATGTATGATTTTTCCATTGTGTGACATTACTGAATTGGATGTTTCAGGAAGTTCACAAATTTCTTCAGTAAGTAAACAACATTAGTCTCTTCTAAAAAAATTATTCTTGTACATGTGGAAGGGAGGACATGTGATTAGATAAAATAACACATTTTCTCTGTTTACTTAGTAGTATGAATTCAGGAAATAACCTTTATTTTTGTTTGCCATTTAGGTTAGAGAGGAATATGTTCATTAGCATTTTTAAAATTTATCTTTTTTAAAAGATCTATTTGAAAGGCAGAGTATGGGGGAGAAGGGTGGAGAGTGAGAGAGACCTCCTATCTGCTGGTTCACTCCCTAAATTGCTACAATAGCCAGGACTGGGCTAAGCCACACCCTGGAGTCAGGAGATCTATCTTTGTCTCTCCCATAAATGGCAGGGACCCAAGCACTTGGGTCATCATCTGCTCCCCTCCCAAGCACATTAGCAGGGAGATGGATCTGAATCGGAGCAGCTGGGACTCAAACCAGCACTCAATATGGGATTCTGTTGCCACAAGCAGCAAGTTAGTCTACTGTACCACAGCAGCAGCCCCTTAAATTTGTTTTTACTGATGAAGCCGGCACTGAGTTGGCAGGTGAGCTGCTGCCTGCTGTGCAGATATTCCATATGGACTCCGGTTCAAGTCCTGGCTGCTCCAATTCCTATCCAGCTCTCTGCTCATGTGCCTGGGAAAGCAATGGAGTGTAAGGCAAGTGCTTGCGCCCCTGCACCCACATGGAGACCCGGAAGAAGCTCCTGGCTACTGGCTTTGGATTGCTCCAGCTCTAACCGTTGCTGCCATTTCGGGAGTGAACCGGTGGCTGGAAGATCTATCTCTGTCTCTCTCCCACTCTCTGTAGCTCTGCCTTTCAAATAAATAAATAAACCTAAAAAACTTACTTTTAATGAAGCATTTTTATCCTTTTTTTTAAAAAAAAGATTTTTTTATTTATTTTGAAAGATTGGGTGGTGGTGGTGGTAGAGAGAACAAGAGAGATGTTCTATCTGCTGGTTTGCTCCCCAAATGACCATCTGCTGCCTTCCCAGGCATGTTGCTGTATCAGAAGTGGAACAGCCAGGAACTGAATTAACACTCCCAATATCAGGTGCTGGTGTCAAAATCAGTGGCTTATCTTAGTGTGCCACATTGAGTTTTTTTTTTTTTTTTTTAAGATTTTTTTTTTTTTTAATTTATTTGAAAGAGTTAGAGAGAGAGAGGTAGAGACTGAGAGAATCTTCCATCCTCTGGTTCCCTCCCCAAATGGCTGCAATGGCTGGAGCTGAGCTGATCCACAGGAGCCAGGAGCTTCCTGCAGTCTCCCACGTGGGTACAGCGGCCCAAGCACTTGGGCCATCCTCTGCTGCTTTCCCAGGTGCTTTAGCAGAGAGCTGCATTGGAAGTGGAGCTGCCGGGACTTGAACCAGTGCTCATATGGAATGCGGGCACTGCAGGTGGGGGCTCTAACCCACTGCACCACAGCCCCAACCCCAACATATTGGGTTCTTAAAATTTATTTTTAATGAAACATTTGTATCCTTTAATCAGTGGTGGATTGGGATCCTTAGTGTTCTTTTAAAAAATGTTTCTATATACTTTATAGAATGTTTCATTTGGCACTATTTTTTTAAAATTGTTTCTTTCATTAATGGATATACTTAAAAAACTTTATATATTTGAAAGGTAGACTGACAGAGAAGGAGTGGGAGAGAGAGAGACAGATACACATCTTCCATCTCCTGGTTCACCCCCCAAATGGCTGCCAGCGAGGACTGGGCCAGGCCAAAACTAGGAGCCAGGAACTTCATCCAGGTCTCCCAAGTGGGTGGAAGGGACGCAAGCACTTGAGCCATCATCTGCAGCCTCCCAGGAGCATTAACAGGAAGCTGAGCAGCTGGGACTGAATCTGGCACTCTGATACGTGATGTGGTGACTCAAGCAGCAGCTCACCCCACTGTGCCACAATGCTGGACCCTGGAGGATATCCTTGTTCTGCCAAAGTTTTTAAATTTTCTGTAGTCATCATCCTGATAAGTTTTATTCTCTAGGGCTACAGAAGGAAAAGCTTTTTTATAAAGGACCAGGTAGTAAATATTTTTGGCTTTATGCACCTTGTAGAGTATTACAGTTTAGTCAGTTCTGCCACTGAAATGGGAAAGTGGCCAGCCATAGACAAGTTGGAGATAAACAGGTATGTCTGTATTTCAATAAAACTTTATTTATAAAAACAAAATTGTATTTGTGATATTTGCCCCAGGGCAGTTAAAAATTGGATTTTATACACAAGCAAACATTTCACATAACACTGCTCAGTTTCTCTTTCTTGAGAAACATTTAGTGACTGGGAATATGAGATTGGAATCAAGATTTAGGTTTGAATTTCATAATTTTCTGATGTGATCTAGGTTATCTGATCTTTCAAGGCTTGGCTTTCCATTTGTAGGAAGAGAGAAATAATAGACCCTACATTGTAAGATTGTCACAAGGATGAAATGAGAATGCGTGTGAAGGACTTGTATAGCAGCAGGTGTACCGTAAATGCTCCACAAAATTCATCACTGTCATTCTCTTTCTAAGTTTATATGGAGGTATAATAGAAGTCAAATCACTAATGATTTTTAATAGCTAAAGCAAATATAAATTCGAATATTAGAAAATGCTGAAACTGGTAGAGATGATTGCTGCTAGCTAAAGCAGAATTCTAGAATCCTGTCTGAAAATAAAAAAGCCAACTCAAGTCTTTCCATGTGCTATTATTCCATTGCTTCCATTCCCTTGTTATATTCCTAATATAACATTGCTTGAGTTTGGAGTTGTAGCATAGAATAAATAGCTTCCTTATGGCTACCAAATCTTGATTATTGTCTAGATTTATTTTCTTTGGAGTTCTTCAGTGTTAGACTGTTAGGGGAAAAATGCTTTAGTATTACATATTTTGTATGCTAAACTATGCTTGCTTTAAAATATCAAAAAAATGTTTATTGTGATTTTACTATAAAATATTAAGCTCAGGATTGCCATTTCCAATTTATGTTAATCATGGTTTTCAATCTTGAAGTTTACATGTTTTCTCAGATTAGTGCTAATGATCTTTGTCTTTCAGATTTTTACAGATTTAGTCAGAAAAATGAGCATAAAATGAGCCTATTATTTGATCTAGAAGGTGGAAGGGAGCTATCTTTTCATTTATATTAAGATATATCCTACTAGAAATAAAAACGTACAGTTGGAAAAATAAGATTAAACTGTTTGCATTGTTAGACTGGTTACCTCAGTTTTCTTTCATCTTTGGCAATAATTATGAATACCTTGCTGATTCTAATGTTAATAAGTAGCTAATATTAAATAAGTTGTGATTACTATATCCCAAGATATTCCTATTAAATCAGAGCAGATTTTTAGCCCATGTTCAAAACTTTGGTTACCAAATGGTCATCTTTTGTAACATGTAAAATCCTAGAACACTTGGGTATGGCTGTTAGTAAGATGGGATCTAGCTCCTGGGGTAACAACACCCAGGCCCTATCCTGCTACTCTTCACCCGTTCCTTTGGTGGATGTCCTGCCCAGTTCGTGGCCAAGGTACTGGTATTGATTGCTTGCCTGAGGCTCATCTCCGGAATCTTTTCTGACTTGTTCCTGACTGCCAGCTTTCTTGGAATTAGGATAAGAAGAGTGGCTGAGATATAAAGCAGGAGCAGAGTAGCACCTGGGCATTGTTAAGTTGCGGATAAAGGGCATTGCCTCCTTTTACTTGAGCATTTTGTGTAATTGGAAGATTTGATAACTACTTACAATAATCAATCAGACCCATATCAGTGGATGCAGTGGAAAAAATGCTGGACCTAGCTTTGTGCCTAGTGTGGGGAAGGGAGCAGGATCCCAGGGCAGGAGAACTTCGTGTGCTCCTCGTGGACCCTGTGAACAGTGAAGGGGTGGGAAGAATCCTCTGGTGTTCACAATGGACACATACCAAGGAGGCGGTGCATATAAAAGAAGAGACCTCAGCAGGCTGCTGCTCCCTCACCTCAGTTCTCTCCAGCTAAGCGTCTTGCCCAGAGCAAAGCTGGCCTTTCCTGTACTTTGTAGTCCTACCCCTGGCTCCCACCCTAGAGGGGGTCCTGGACCTCTGTGACAAGTTACTTCCTCCCAAACACTGGAAACTGCCCTGAGCTGGGGCCAGTGCAGGTTGAGCTTTTGTCTGTGTGCTTATTAGTGGCTTGGAAAAGGTTTTGCTTGAGGTAACTGAATCAAGCAGAGTGAACAGGCGGAGGTTGAGGAGAAAGTACCATTTTCGTTGGCCTGGCTTTGTGTTTCAGTTTTCAATTTACTGAGGAACTTAATGTCTGTGTATTTTTACCTATTTAACCTAAAGAAGAAAGAGTGGTGCTTTATTGGTTTGTAAAGTGATGGAATGTAACACTAATCTAGATCAGCACTCTTTATTTTAGAGGTGAGTTGTCTTGCTTACTATTATAGAGGAGAATAGTTTTTTTGTTTGTTTGTTTTTTAAGATTGAAAGAGAAAGAGAGATTGAGATTGAGATCATCCATATGCTGGTTCACTCCAAATGGCTGCAGTGGTGGCCAGGTTGAAGGAGGAACTTCTTCCGGGTCTTGCAGGGGCCCAAGGACTCGGGCCATCTTCCGCTGCTTTCCCAGGCGCATTAGCAAGGAGCTGGATCGGAAGCGGAACAGCCAGGACTTGAACTAGTACCTATATGATATGCTGGCACTGCAGCAGCGGCTTTACCTGTTACACCACAATGCTGGACCAGAGGAAGGAAGATAGATAAATAGATAGATAGATAGATAGATAGATAGATAGATAGATAGATAGATTTGAAAGTGAGAGTTACACAAAGAGAGAAGGAGAGGCAGAAAGAGAGAGAGAGAGAGAGAGAAAGAGAGAGGTCTTCCATCCGATGGTTCACTCCCCAGTTGGCTGCAATGACCAGAACTGAGCTGATCCGAAGCCAGGAGCCAAGAGCTTCTTCTGGGTCTCCCATGCAGGTGCAGGGGCCCAAGGACTTGGGCCATCTTGTACGGCTTTCCCAGGCCATAATAGAAAGCTAGATGGGAAGTAGAGCAGCCAGGTCTCGAACCAGCGCCCACGTGGGATGCCGGCACTTAAGGCCAGGGCATTAACCCGCTGCGCCACAGTGCCGCCCCACCCCTTTTAAAATTATTTATTTGAAAGTCAGAGTTACAGAGAGAAGGAGAGGCAGAGAGAGAGAGAGAAAGATAGTTTTAAAAGAAATATTAGAATCCCATAAACCCAGCTCCTTACTGTGTGTGACCCTGGGAAAAAACGTAGCATTTCTGAGCATCACTTTTCTCACCGGTAACATGAGCGTAATATCTAAGAGGCCTCTTGTTGGGAATCACCTTTAAGGTAGCAGATGCTCAACAAATGTTGTTTCATAATTGTCACCTTTAGATGAAAATATCACAAATAGATGAAGGTATATGATTGCTTATTTCCCTCTTAAAATGGTTCTCTAGTGTTTTTTGTATGTATAAAAGTATAAGTACCCAATTCAGGTTCATTCTGTTAGTCCTATTTCTAGTTACAAAATAATTTATTTGATGTCAGAAGCTAATCTGTATTTCAAAGTGTGGTGCACAAAATTATGTCTTTAATTATTAAGTGAATTGATTGAAAAGGTAAGATGTCTAGGAAATAATGACAGGTGGCTACTTATGGCAGATTTATTTGAAGGCTGCATGCTTATATGTGTCAATATAAAATGTGCAAAAACTGAAAGTGACCTTTTTTTTTTTTAAATTAGGAGAGAGAAGCCCTTCAGAAACAGCTGGATGAAGCAAACCGAGAAGCCCAAAAATATCGACAGCAACTTCTAAAGAAAGAACAGGAAGCAGAAGCCTACAGACAGAAGTTAGAAGCTATGACTCGTCTTCAGACTAATAAAGAAGCTGTTTAACTGAACATGTAGTTTGATTTTACTTTTGGCCAAGAAAGAATACAATCTCGAACTGTACGCATTAAGAGTACAGTCATGGGAATACAGGATAATAGAAGAGACTTCAGATTGATAATTGGACTTAAGCCATGAGCTCTGAATTCTTGTAACATAAAACTTTACTTTAGAAGTTGTGAAATGTATTTAAAACTGAATTCTGTAAATAGTTCTTGTTTTTTTTTTTACAGTTCCAAATGAGTTGATAAAGATTGTTGAAGAGATCCAAAACCACAACAAGCCACTGTTTTTGTGAATTCTTTTTGATTTTAGTACAAACCTTGATCTCTCAGAAACAGAACAGTTCTAAGGGTGATCATTGCTGATTAGACCAAATGTGTAATAATTATGGTGGACCGATGCTGGAATTACTCCTATAGGTATAAACTTCTATATGAAGGGAAGATTTCTTCCAGGAAATCTTTGTACAGCTTTAAGTTGTCTCAGATTCTCTGAAAACATTTTTTAGAAAGTGAAATTTTTATATTTGTTCAATTTCAGCTATACCCAAGTAGATTTACATGTATATGAAGCAAATATTTTTTAAACTTTCTGTTTGTACATATTCTGCATGTTTTATAATTTCAGAGTGCATCACCTGCGTAGGTATTTTTCCCACAAAGATGATGAAAGTTACTAGGAAGAAAAAAAACCACCTTTTATTCTATAGGTCATTGAAGCTAAGTAAGCTAACAGCTGGTTTTATTGGAGTGACAATGTTCTTGGAAGGAGCAGCTTACAAGATAACTTGAATTTACGAACCCGGCACAATATGCTTTTTTGAAATTTCATAGTGGGGACGTGAAACTGTATTCTGTGCCTTCCATCATGATTTCCACATGAAAGCACTTTAAGGCACTGGATTTTAAGATAATGTTTTTGGAAAACTCAATGAATATGGGTTTCTGAAATACTTCATGGACTTATTTCCCCCTCTCCAGGAAATTATTCTCATGGAAAAAAAAATTGTTTTTGTATGTAGAACAAGAACTTTTTGTACTACAGTGACGCTCTCGATAAGACTAGCGCCAACTTTTACTTTTCCCTCTGAAAGCTTAGCATCTGTGTTATGACTTAACTCTCATCACATTGTTGTTGGATTCCACAATGTATGGACATGAAACTCTGACAGACTGTGTGTTCTTTTTTGTAAAACATAACTACAAGCTCTTATTTCTTGCTTTGTTTTTTAATGTTTTATTGCTTTATGAAGATGCTTAACCCCAAACCCCTCTAGATTACCTATACTGTATAAAGAAGCAGTTACCCTTAAAACTGTACTCTGGCCTACTTTTCTATTTTACAATTAAATATCTTTTCCACATATGTTCAGTGTAGACTTATGTTTTGGCCACATTTTACTCACACATTATTTTATTCCACTTTTTATTTGAGCTATATCCCACCATTTGAAAGTGTTTCATGGTGTGGTAACTTCTTTGGAGTTGCTAGTTCTCTTGCTGGAATTATCAGTGTGGTTGTTAAGGTAATAAAAGGATTAACAGACTGTTTTAGTTGCTATTGGAAGCTTGAAAAAACTTCAGGGGGCAAAGTTAAGAATTCTATAAGGAAGAAAAAAATGTTTTTCAATTTTCCACTAAGTTTGGTATAGTTTTAAAGCATCCACAACGAAGTTTTCAAAATGCCGGATCAGATTTTCAGTAGCATGAAGCTGCTTTTTGTGCAGTCTTGAGAAGTCAGTGGAGAACACCTGTTTGTGATCAACTTAGTGCATTCAGTTCTGTCAGGTGGGGTGCTGCTATGGCAGTCGAGTACCCGGATTTGCTGTGTTGAAAGATCAGTCTGTTTACCCAGAGTGCAGCCCTGTGTGGTGTTGCTTCCAGACCAGGCTGGCCCTGAAAGGCCTTGAGTCCGTGTTGAAGCAACCATCTGACCATCTGAAAAGCTAATGTAATGCCTCTTTTGACTTCTAGTCTCCTATGCTGCTAGACTGCCTGGTTCAAGAAAGAATTTTGATCTCTTATGACAACAGCTGCGTAGATGGGAGAAAATTTTTACTTCAGAAGGAGTAAGTCTATGATAATATCAGGTGTTAAGATACCTTTAGGGATGTTCACTTTTTTCAGTCATTGTTCTGTTGGATTTGTTTCATTGTGCATTTGTTTGCACTACATTCGCTATGCTGAGAAATCAATACTTAGACAAGAATTGGTAATTAAAATGACTTCTGGTTTAAGTTTTCAGAAATCTGTTCTTGAAATGCTTCCACTACACAGTCATGGATTTGTAGTTAGTGGTTGCTGGTTGCCACGTTGGTGGTTAATTGTTTCCACGTATGTATGAATAAACACGTAGAGCAATCTTTCTCCACTAGGCTGCTGTGAGAGAATCAGACCACAAAGTGTTAGGGCCTACTTAGTTTCTTAGGCACCTGGAATGCTGCTTGTTAGGAACTGTGTAGACACTGAGGTCACTGAGGTCTTGGTTGCCTAAATGACTCATATTTAGCTCTTCCTGTGTGCAATGGCTGGAGCTCATGCATTACAAATTCTAGGCTGGGGCTGTGATGCTTCCAGAAAACCTCAGCTGAACAGTAGTGTCTGCAAGGATTGTGCTTCTTGACTGATTTTCTCTCGTTACTGTTTATTTTGTTTATATCTTACCTTAATAATTTCCCTAAAGGAAATAACTTGTGATATAATTTATTTTCATTGGCTTTTAGGAATTATTTTATTATTACGTCAATCTTTCATGATATGACTGCTGGAATATGTACTCTACTCCTTTGCTCTGACACTGGAATGCTTTTTTTTTTATGTTGTTGGAGGATTGGGAGTTGGAGAACTTTTTTCTGTGATATTCAGTAGAATAGAATTGAGACTTTTCATTTTTGGGAAATATGTAATGAAAACTAGTTTGCATTAGAAAAACCTATATACAATGATGTTTATCCAAAACATAACAAAATCTATGCTAGTTTAGGAGTCTTCAGTGTGATTTTTTTTAATGTTGTTTACCAGAAATTAAAGAATTTATTGCCCAGAACAGGAATCAAAGAGTTTATAGAAACATTCATAGATGCTTTATTCTGATTTGACTTTTTTTTCTCTGTACAAGGGTTCTTTTAAAAGTTCATGGAAAATGGAATTAAACGATGTTTATTTTGGTCCAAAAATTTTATATCTATGAATAGTTTTTTCATAAATATGCATTTTCCATGAAATTTTGAGGTAACCTCATTATGCTAAACTAGCTTTTCCTGATAAAAAGCTGTGGCATTTCTTTGTTCTTTTAAACCTGGAAGATCTTGAAAGCTGTCTCAAAGTAAATTATAGCAAAAAGAAAAATCTTTTCAAATTAAATAACAAAACAATTCTAGGAACCTTTATGTCCATATGCATGGGTTCCCAAAGTATTTGCACTCAAGCTTATATAGCAAATAGAAAAAAATGTTCTATTCATTTTGCTTCCATTAAATAAATAACTCCTCTATTATGTCAGATCAACTTAGGAATGGACCAACTAACAGATTTGCCATTTCATTAAATAATATTTACAGTACTTGGATTTCATTATAGATAACTAGTCTGTTGTCGTTAAAATGATGTTTGCTATTTACTTTCTTGCTATTAGGTGAGAACACCTGATGGAGGTAGACTGAGTTTGACGTAAATTCTGAATTCATTCTCAGATTATTCTGTGTAACCTGTAATGGAAAACATGGTATCATCACTGGAAAAACGTATGTGGCTCCAAATCAAAATTTGGTATCAATATTTTTGTGACTTATTAAAACTTTTCCAAATATGTAGATACACAGATCATCTTGTTATCTTAGATTGTTTTGAAATCCTTAGCTCCTTTAGAAATATTTTAATGATGATCAAATATTGAATATAAGTTAGATGCAATTCTTGGGGCCCTTCATTTTTAGCTAAATGTTATAACTAAAAAAAAACCCTACCATGTGTATTCTGGAAAAATTTTGATTTGATTTCTGGGGTTCTATCCACAATGGCTTTATTAATTGCTTCATTTTTTATTTGAGTAGTTTTGATCTCATATGCACAATTGTTATATATTTTCTACATTTATATAGTATTATGTAATGCAATTTTATCCTTACTGTGATTGATCACACGGATTATAAATTTGAATTTCATGGATTATTTTGATATTTTCCTAATCTGTCTATGAGGACCTTTTTTTAAAAAAAAAAATTATTTTTTTAATTTGAGAGAGTTATAGAGAAAGGGAAAGACAGACAGGTCCTTCATCTGCTGGCTCAGTCCCCAGATGGCCACAACAGAGCTGGGCTGATCCGAAGCCAAGAGGCAGGAGCTTCTTCCTGGTCTCCCATGTGGGTGCAGGGCCCAAGCACTTGGGCCATCTTTCACTGCTTTCCCAGGCCATAAGTAGAGAGCTGGATTAGAAAAGGAGCAACTGAGAACCAGTGCCCATATGTGATGCTGGTGCCACAGGTCAAGGCTTAGCCTACTATACCATAGCACTGGCCCCAAGGATCATTTTCTTATATATTTTTTGTGTGTCAGTTAAAAGTCAGTAAAGACCATTTTCATCATTACTCTTTTTTTTTTTTTTTTTTTTTTTTTTTTTTTTTTTTTTTTGACAGGCAGAGTGGACAGTGAGAGAGAGAGACAGAGAGAGAAAGGTCTTCCTTTGCCGTTGGTTCACCCTCCAATGGCCGCCGCTGCAGCCGGCGCACCGCGCTGATCCTGGCAGGAGCCAGGAGCCAGGTGCTTTTCCTGGTCTCCCATGGGGTGCAGGGCCCAAGCACCTGGGCCATCCTCCACTGCACTCCCTGGCCATAGCAGAGAGCTGGCCTGGAAGAGGGGCAACCGGGACAGAATCCGGCGCCCCAACCGGGACTAGAACCCGGTGTGCCGGCGCCGCCATCATTACTCTTAAGAATTAATTTTAAATTGCATTCACTTACTGTTTTGCTAAAGAAAGATACCATACTAAGGAAGCCTACACACGAATGAAAACTATAATCTATCTCCCTCACTCTGTTAACTGAAGAGACAGAGAGGGGCCTGTGTTGTGGTGTAACAGGTTAAGCCACCACCCGCAACACAAGCAATCTAAATCGGCACTGGTTCAAGTCCTAACTTCTCCCCTTCTGATCCAACCCCTTGCTGATGCACCTGGGAGGGCAGTGGAAAATGGCTCAAGTCCCTGGACCCCTGCACCCTGGTGGGAGACTCAGGTGAAGCTCCTGGCTCCTTGGCTTCCATCTTGCCCAACCCTGGCTGTTGCAGCCATTTGGGGAGGGAACCAGTGGGTGCAGGATCTCTTTTTCCTATCTCGCCCTCGCTTTCTGTGACTCAGCCTTTCAAATAAACAAATCAATCAACAAAAATTTTTTAAAAGTTTTAGGAGAGATTTATTGAAACATCCATGGATTTACCATCCAAATTTGATAAATCTTGTTTGCCTTCTTCCCTTCAGTTCCTTTAAGAAAAAGAATGTTAGAGATGTAGTTGAAGTTCCTTTGTTCTCTTTCCTGATTCCATTTCACCCCCACAAAAGACAATCATTATGAACCTGATGTTGAAATGTTTTATTCCATCTTCACGTTTATATGATCTTGTGTAATGTTAGCCAAGTACTTTCATTCCCTGGAGACTCAGTTTCTCAAGGATGAGTGGAAGATGGCCTTCACTAGGTTGTTGTATAGAGTCAATCAAATGGTATGCATGAGCAGTGCAAGGCATACTGCCTGTATGTAGTAAACATTGTATTTTAGAATGGAATATTGAAGGATGTAAAGGCAGTCATCCCAGCCCCAACCTGTTACAAAGAAATAGTAATTTTCTTAAAAAAAAAAAAAAAGAAAATTACTGTTTCTTTGTAACAGGTTGGGGTTGGGATGACTGCCTTTTTTTTAAGATGTATTTATTAATTTGAAAGAGTTACAAAGAGAGAGGGAGAGAAAGAGAGCTTCCATCTGCTGGTTCACTCCCCAGATGGCTGCATTGACTGGGGCTGGGCCAAGGCGAGAGTCAGGAGCTTCTTCCAGGTCTCTCACATCAGTGACAGGGCCCAAGCACTTGGGCCATCTTCCACTGCTTTTCCTAGGCCATAAGCAGGGAACTGGATCAGAAGAGGAGCTTCCAGGAATGGAACCAGTGCCCATATGGGATGCTGGCACTGCAGGCAGCGGCTTTACTCACTAAGCCATAATGCCAGCCCCCCCCCCTTCTATAAAGATTTATTTATTAATTTGAAGATCAGAGTTACGGAGTGAGAAGGGGAGAGAGAAGAAACAGTGATTTTCCACTTGCTGAGGTGCTGTCGAGTCTATCAGGATGCTACTCTTCTAAGTGAGCTCTCAAGCCTGA